GATACAGTTCGAACATCAATTTGGATTTGTGAAATATCGCTGTATTTCCACAATTTTTCCACGTGTATTTCAAAGCTGCTTTTCTTGCCAGGAACAGGTGCATGCAAGGGTTTGTCTGTCAGTGCAGCTCAGCCCCAAATCCCGCAGAGCTGGGATCTGCTTTGTAATTTATTGTGCTGACCCATCAGGATGGCCGTTTCCCATTTAACCGACTATCGCTGCCTCCAGTCTCTTCCCATTACAGTTTTGACATCACAACAAGACAAATAAATTTTTTAAAAGACCTTTTATCTTCTAAACCATTTATTTTCACTTACTTAGCCCGGGGGCAGAGCTGACCTCAGCGCAAGGGATGATCATTCACCATGGCAGCTGTACAGTCAATGGGTCCTGGGGACAGGCCTGGGCCGAGCAGCCTTCGCCCTGCAGCTGCTGTGCTGTGGCTCTGGGCTTTGCCCTGCTTGCCCAGCAATCCCTGAGAGCTGGATCATTTTTTGTTCCTTAAAACGTCTTCCCTTTCCATCTGCAGTGGGGCAGTGGTGAAGCTGTTCCTTGAAAGCGGATGAGGGGATGAGCTGAAGCTTCAGGCAGCTCAGGGTTTTGCTGAGCCAGGAGGAGCTTCTGTGTGAGGCAGAAACCTGAGCTGGGAATGAGGATGGGGCTCTCAGCTTGCTCTGGGCAGCAAGGGCTCTTTGTTGCCCTCACCTTCCTGGTGGTTCTGAAAAGTTCTGTTTGAAGCACACTGTTGGCATCTTATACAAACCATTGAAGAAATTTTCAGTTTTTATTTTGCCATATTTTGTGCCCATGCCAGGGTGGGGAAAAGCCTTGCTTAGGCAGGATGAGAAGTTTGAGAAAAACCCTAGCCTTTTTGATTAATGACAAAGCTATTTTGAACAATTAATTTGTTGCCAATTCCCTTTACTTTTGATTTTGATAGCTGCTCTCCTGAGCTCCTGCTGCAACCAGCATCACACCTGAAGCCCAGTCTCTCTGCAACAGCCCTTGTTTTGTACCTGCACTAACAGCAAAACCTTATATTTATTTTTCCTCTGACACCACACTGATTTTGTATTTTCCTACCCCTGGATGTTGAGATAGCTTAAAGAACCTTGACTTTAATGAGGAAAAAAATAATCTCCTTTTAACTCTGTGTCTAAACTTCACAAGCCTCCACAAGCACTGGTCAGGGTTTGGAAAGCATAGGTCTGTCTGTCAGCAAATATTAGAGACTCAGAAATAACAAGGAGAGGTAATTTAGAGATCTAGTGATAATTTGTCATTTTTAATTCCTGTGTGGAGTGGAAAGTGAGCTACAAAATGAGAAATCTTTATTTTCATGCAAGTCATAAAAGGGTTTTTGTTAACAGTTTGTGTGTGTGTGTATAATTCTGCACTGTGATTTAAGTGTTCCCATTAGAAATGCAGAATAGGAAATAGGATCCCATCTGTGAGCAATTTAAGAGGAAGTGAGACAATGGAGTCGATTGCTGCTTCAGTTTAGATAATCAATACAAATATTATTAGTATAGTGATTTATCTTCTTAGACACTTTATGAAAATGTGAATGCCAGCCCCTGAAGACAGGTCAATATGATGTTATCTGTTCCTGCCTTGCTGTGTTTATGGTGCTTTCCCATGAAGGTCAAGCAGCTGCTTTGTTAAATGTTCTTCCCTGGCTCTGATGAAATAACGCAGAAACAAACTTAGGGCTTTCCTTTCTCCTCCATGGCTCCGGAAATGCACTGTGCTTGTCAGTGCAGTGATTATTTCTGTCTGAAATCTGTGCTGGGGACTGCAGGGGGGACACTGGGAGGTGCTCTTTAGGGTCCCTTCCAACCCAAACCATTCTGTGATGAAGTTCTGGAAGAAGTTTGCATAATTTTAAATCTATTTCTAGGCCAGGAGTGGTTCTGTGCACAAATGCTGAGAGCTCCCTTGGGTTTATTGCAGTTGTTCTGTGTTGGTGTCTGTTACCAAACCTTGTGTTGTGCTCTCTGAGGTTTTCCCATGTCTAAGCATTTGGCCAGTCATTGATTAATTCACGTCGGTTCATGGGGTGCAATTAAAAGACTAGCCCTACAAATAGGCTAGTCTGCTTTTCCAAAAGGGTTTTTAATTGCTTTTACTTTGGAGAGGATGGAAGGAAAACATTGTCAACAAATGCTCTTGTACATTTTGCTTTGGGTGAACGTTCCCGTACATGATGTCAAGCGGCTGAAGAATTTTCTTCCTTCACAAGAAATGATTGGAATAAATGAGAAATGTCAACAACCCTGTTAAAAACTGCCTAACTAAAGACAGGATGGGGAATACAAAATTTGATGTGAAGATTACACTTCTCCTTGAAAGTACCATGGAACATCACTCGGCTGTTGTTTGAGATGCCTAAAGTCAGATTCTTGGAGACTCATGGTGGTGTTGGCATTGGCCACACCACTCACCTGGAGCATCTCCTACTCCAGGAGGGGTGATCTGGGATGGTGGGACGCTGGGGCTGTACCCTCCAGACACTGGACACAGAAGGAACTTTGTTCCCCATGTATAATGAAGTGGCATGAATTTCATAATCTCAGTGTCCTCATATGTCCCTCCTGAGCCCAGAACCCCCTCACCCCACAGTGTGCCGGCAGGATGAAAGCTTTGCAGATGGAGAGATGCTAAGGAGACAGTGCTAATAGAGACCACACTGGTAGCCTGGTTAGAAGTAATTATTTGGTACTTGGAGATGCTGTGAGACTGTTCCTGTTTTCGGGTTGGGGTTTCCTCAAGAAAGGTGTTAAATTTATAAAAAATAAGGCACTTCAGTCACTCAGATTTCACCTCAGCTCTTTGAAAAAACAGATAGTCAGGAATTTCCGTAGCTGCAAGGTGGAGCACAGCAAACATTAACAAGGCCAGTAGCACTGCGTGGCCGTCTGCAAGAACAGGGAAGTGCCCAGGCCCTGCAGAACTGCACTGGGGCTCGGCAGAAAGGTGATAAATAATGAAGCTGTGAAGAGGAGAAACTGCTGATGTATGACACTTGGAAAGCTGGAAGAGTGCAAAAAGGGAGCTGAAAATACCCCCAAAAAATGACTATCTGTGGCTTGAATGAAATAGTGTCCGATCAGCATTCAGAAACCGCTGAATCCAGGCCGTTCCAATACTGGCATTTTCCAGACTGCTTGCCAGTCAGATGCAGAGGAGAACACGTGTGGAGCGTCTGCGGTCGCAGTGCTCGCAAGAAGTGGAAGGTGAGCTGCATGTAAAGGCAGTGAGAAGTCCCAGTAAAAAATAAGAAACACCTACTTTTTCTTCCAGTGAGGAAGAGTGGGGGTATTGGGGTTCAAGAGAGATGGGAACATAGCTGCACTCTGCGAGCATCCCTTTTAATGAACCGTGCCACCAATAAATAGTGCCCACTTTGGTCCCTGAAGAGCTTTCAGTATTTTCTGAATGCCCATAATAGACAGTTCATGCTTTTATGGTGAACATAGGAGCTGAGACCTTCTCGATATATCTTGAGCTTTATGTCCCTGAGTTGTGCTGTAGCTGCCTTGGGGATGTGCCTGTCCTTTGCTGATGCTGTCTGGAGTGGTGGAGCTTGGAGCGTGACTGGGTAGTGCTCAGATATTCTTGCCCTTGTCTTTGTAAGCTGAAACGTGTGCCCAGAGGCCTTCTCCTCTTCTGCATTTGCAGCTGCCAAAAAAGATGCCTTTCTTCCCCAAGCAATGCGAACAAAATCCCACCATCCGCAGCCTCTTTCAGCTGTGAGGAGTTTTGGGTGTTCTCCAGCAGTGACAGCAGCTGTGCTGGATGAAGGGGTCTGGCCCCAGGTAGGGCTTGGAGAGGAGTCCTTGTTCTCCTGCACTGCTCAGGTGCTCTGGCCTCGTCCCAAAGCTGGGCTGGTGGGGCAGAGAAGGAGCGGATGTGGCTCCTGAGCAGCTCGATGGTGATGTGAGCCTCTGGTGTTTGACTCCATGCTGGGTGACATGCTTGGGATCCTGGCTTCGAGCTGGTGTGCTTTGGTTTACATCTGATATACTCAAGTGGTTTTGGAAGGACAAGCAGGAGAGGAAATGGCTGTTGGAACATGAGGGGGGAGCTGTAGCATCAGGATGTAACCCCCAGCCTCTGGCTGTGAGGACTTAGAGAAGCAGCAGGGAAAGGCTAGGAATAGGATGGCATGTAAGCACCAGATAAACCTAAAAAATATTGTCCAGGTGTCCTCAGTGCTTGGCCAGGGACAGCTGCAGGGCTCACAGTTTGCAGGGGTGAGTACTGAAGCAGACTGGGGGATGCTTCAGGCTCCTGATTTTAAATCACATCCTTGGTTAGTTAGAGGGTGAGCACTGCAGCTCCCAAAAGCTGGCCTTGTCCTGTTGTGATCAGTGATGTAGGCCCAGGTTGCAGTGCTGAAGGAACTTGCCTAAAGGTAATTTCAGCATAAATCCCCAATAAGGGGGGATGTAGGGATCACAGGGCTGGATCTCTGTTACAGCCAAGGCTTGATTATCCTTTTCCCTACGCTCCTGAAACTACACCGACTTCAACAGAGCCATTCCTGTTGCTCCTGTGTGAGACTGAAAGGAGATTAAGTGCCCAGCAGTGCCTCCCATTCCTCCTGTGTCTTGCACCTTTGTTCAGACCTTGCATTTCAAACCATTTTAGCCGGTGGGAGGCAAATCAAAGCTGTTAGGTTTGAGCCGGTGACAATGGCCTGGTGCTGTGTGGTGTGCCCAGCCCCTTGCCTTTGTGCAACGTTTGTGATTCTTGCCTTTATTTCATTTGCTTCGGCATCTGCATTTGTAACCGTTTTTTTTCAAGTTTCTGACTGGTGACTCATTAGGAGTAAATAGGCAAAAGGATATTGACTTTACACCTACTAATTTGGGGGTGCTAACAAGCACATGTAAGAGCTTTATAGTCACCGGGTAAATTGTCCCACCTGGGGGGGCTGGAGGAGGGGAGATAAAAGGCATTACAAAGAAGCAGCACTTTTGTTTCTAGCTCCTAGCCTTGGCTGTTCCTGCTGCTACTGGAGCTGGGGTGGAGGTTTGATGGTCACCATTGCTGGAGCCTGTTCTGAGCTTCCCCAGGATCTTCCATCAGACCCGTGTGGGTATGGGTCTATGATATGATGCTAAATGTGTTCGCACAGAAATTAGGTGCCCCTCACGTTGGCTGAGGGACCAAACCCTCCTTCTCGTGGTGTGAGTGCAGGCCGGCCCTGAGTCAGGGTGTGCTGTGCCTGGAAGGGCAGTCAGAGATGGCGTGGCTTGAGCACACCCATGGAGGCTCTGCCAGCAGCAGTCCAGCAGTGTGGGATGGGTGCCTATGGCAAACGTGACTCCCTGTGCCTGTGAGGGTACCAGAGTCCCACGGTCATGGCCGGGGGCAGCTCACTCTGCTGGGGTTAGTGCTCAGCCCTGCTGGTGCTGGGGCCCCAGGCAGCTGCAGATGTATCTGTCCCTCTCCAGCCATGCCTGTGACACAGTAATGCCACCCTTAGCTGTGCTTAGATCAGGATGTCACTGGCTCAGAGAGTGACCTGTTGCAGGGGCAGCTGGAGCGCAGCTGAGAAGTGATGGTCCCCAGCCCTGGTGGTCCTGCCCGAAGCAGAGGGTTGAGCTGGGTCACCTCTCGAGAGCCTTCTCAGCCTGAGTGTCTTTCAACACTGAGTGTCAGAACAGAACTGGCAGGTAAAGCCATTGGTGATCCCTTGCTCTGATCCCTGCAGTGATTTTCCTTTGGATGCATTCAGTGGGACCCTTGAGAAGTGACTTTTGTTGTTTGTCCCCGTTCATGATTTTTGTATTGAGATTTTTAAGAATTTGTATTACTTTAAAAATTGGAGATAGGCAAAGTTTTTCATCCTCCCGCTTGGTCCTTCTGCCCTTTTGCTCAGCTTGGGGTGACCCCCTTGTGTGGACGGATGATACCATCTGCACAAGGGTCTGTGTAAGCTGTAGTTTATCTCAGAAGATGTGTGCTGGGGAGGGGAGAGGCATGCTGTGTACCAGGGTGAGAACCAGCTCTCATCTACTCTCTGGACATGAGTCTGATGTGCTGTGTGCTCAGAACAGAAGGAAGCTGTCACCACTGGCTGTATCTGATGTCAGGCTCTCACACTGTGGCTGTGACTTCAGCCTCACCCCTTCTCCTCCTCTGTGCCTGAGATGGCTGCATCCAATATCTATCTCTCAGCAGGAGGAATCTGAGGAAATGCAGCAAACTTCAGCTCCTGGGGCTAAATTGTTGTGCTCTCTAACAGCAAACTGTGTTGAACTAATTGACAACCAGCTTTAAAAGTACCCCAATCAAGCAAACACATTGATTTATTTTTTCCTCTCTTGCCGAGCACTAAGCAGCTTCCAGCTTGGTTTCCTCCCCAAGAAGTGGATAACTCATCTATTGTGTAGTAAAACTGATGGGCAGTGTTGACTTCTATACAATCCTTTCAGTATGCTTAGGGAGGAAGGAGTTCTTATGCTTCTATGAATGTTTGACCACTTAAAAAAAGGCAAAACAAAAAAAAGCCCAACCCAAAACCACACACAACAACAAAAGATGATCCATTTTCTCTGGATGTCTTTGAAAGAAGCTTAGTTTAGAGACAGACTGGAGAGAAAGGCTATTGATTTTGTTTGACCTCCAAAGAGACTGCGGTCAGTATATTTTCCCTGTTGGAAGTGGTTCAGGGCTCTGAATTTCCGTGTCAGCGTTTGTATCCTGAAGCACACTGAAGCTTTTGCTGCTTCTTCAATAAATAGCAAGCTATAGGGAAAGGTAATGCTGGAGTAAATTTATTTCCCTCTGGATCTGCCCTTCCTTTCTTTTTCTTTCCTATGTAGCTTGGTTGTGTCGCTGATGAAGCATTTACAACCTTTTTTCACTGAATGCTGTGCAGGTTTGTGGGTTAAGCTGAGACAACAAGCATAGTTTTGTAATCCCTCTCTTGCTTTTTCCAGAGCTGAGCCAGGTCCTGTCCCAACCTCTTGCCTGCGCCAACAAGGAGCAAGATACCTTCCTGTGTAGAGTAATAAATGTTCTAAAAACTGCTGTCCTCTCTTCTACTCTGATTATTCTCAACCTTTGCAGAGGAAAGCCTTCCTGATTTTTGCTTAGTCTCCTGAAGAGAAACAGATTATTCTGTCTGGGGCCTTGGTTGTACTGGAAATGCTCTGCTTGGTACAGGTCTGTGTAGTTTTGTAGATGTTCTTGTAAAATGGGTCATGACAACTGATGTGCCCTTTCTCTGGTAGCCACCTACCAAAGGATGGCTTCCAGGGATGGCAATACCTGTGGGATAAGTCGGTTGTCAGCTCTAAAGGAGCCCTGTGAGATCAGCAGTGCCAGTAGGCATCTCTCCATGCCAAGATGTCAGCTGTGTTATCTGCTCCTCATTTAACAAAATGCCTCACGTGGTGTGGTTTTGGGGTGTGTGCTTTTGCCTTCATGGCCACAAGTTCAACACAGCCAGTTCGCTGCTGTCAGCACATCAAAGGACAGCCTGATAAAGCTGCCACAATATAATCAAGTCATGGTAGAGAATTGCTGATGTTGGGTACCAGCTGCTGAGCTCCCCTGTTGCCTTTGCCAGCATGAGCTTCATTTCTAACCCACACAGACAGAGCTTCTTCTTGGAATCCCCTCTTCAGAGGAAGGGTTGGTCTTCCTGCCGCTGCCAGCCTCACCTCTGCTTCTGGCTGTGCTCTGGGTCAGGGTGGAGGCTGCTGCTGCGGGTGTGTGAGCCCTGCAGCGTGTGTGGGCTGCTGACAACTGCATGGCACCAGTTTCTAACTTAAGCACTCCATTTCACTGGGAGCAATGGCCCAATGCATCCCTATAAAACAATGAATGGCTGAGGATTTGTTTGTGTACTCTGGGCCAGGCTGAGGCTGCAGCCTCTGTTGCATGTGTAACTCTGCTGAGACCCCAGAGCAGGACTCTGAGGGTTCTCCAGAACCTTTCACTGCTGTCTTCAGCCCAAAGCCCCTCTCCCCACATCTGAATATTCAGTTACATTAACCCCTTGCAAATGGCTCAGCAGCCACCTCCGAGTGGTGAGAAGAGAGAGCTGGAACTGTTAAGCCTCTGCACAAACACGAAGGCAAGGAGCTGATGGGAAGAGCTTGTGGGCGGGGGTGGATTTGCAAATAGTGTCCTCCTGTTTGCACTGCACAACTGGGTAGGACAGGGCAATGCAGAGCAGCTGCCATGGGACACTTTAGTAATACTACTAAATTAATACAATACTTACTATAATTATTGTATCAATTTATACATATTACTTATAATAATATTTACCAAAAAATACAAACATTATTATTAAATTAATACAACATTCATCGATGCAGTGCTTGCTTTGGGAGTAAGTAGTCCTGAGCTTGTGGTCTGAACACAGACTGGGCTGTTTGGTATTGCCCACCTCAAGGTCATCATGAGGCTTTATTAATTAATAAGCAGGAAGTTTTGCTCAGAGCCCTGAGCAGCAGGTGATAGGCTAGCTGAGTATGTTGCTGGAAGGATAGGTAATCACAGGGAAAGCAGCAATGCTCTGCATTTCCTTGTTGCAGTGGCTTCCAGCGGGTGGTCAGCAGGACGTGATGATGGATCAGAAATATGACAAATTCTTGTTAATGATCAATATCAAAAACTAAGAACATGTAGAAAAGCAAAGATGTCCTTGTATCTTAAGTGCCTGTAATCTGCTTCTCAGAGCTGGGTACCAGAATATCCCTTTGATTCTCAAAGGTAATTGCACCTCTTAATTAGCTGGAGAAAAAAATTCCCACAGCCTGAGATCTTGCTATATAAATTATAATTAACCCCTTGGCACTGGAAGTTGAGATTTCCTGCCCCCTAGCACAGATGCAAAACACATTAGCAGCACTTGACATCAGGCCCTGAGCAGCCAGGGGTCAGGCTGCTACCCCAAAATCCAGCTGCACTTCCCAGCACAGCGAGGAAATGGCAAGGAAACCACGGGAACCCAAGGGGAAGCTCTAAATACACCATTTGAGGGGGTTTGACCTGCTTTCTTTTCAGGGCTGCAAATGTTCCAACAGGAAGGACAGCACAGAAAAAAACAAACCCAACCCCAGGGAAGAGCTGGGAGTGAGGAGAGGAGTGGATTTGTGAGGCGACATGGCTGGGTGCCCCGCCGTGAGAACGGCGCTGGTGCTGCCGCCCCACACACCTCCAGCCCCACCATTGTCTGGTGCCAGACACACTTGGCTGTGCCTGTTGTGTGCAGGGCTGGGCCACCCACTGCTGTCATTCACCAGCATCCTGCTTTTTTGTTTCCTTTTCATCACGCCTGCTGGGGGATGAGCGTTAACTCCTCACACCAGAGGTAACCTGTGGTGAAGTGCCAGGTTGGGCAGCTGGCGGCAGGGAGGTGACAGCATGGCCGGGGGGTGGGGACTGCCCCGAGCCTGTCTGCACCTGTGACACTTCCCTGCCCGCTCCCCTCATCCACACTGTGACCTCAGAGGAGGGCCAGGCCTGCTGAGCACCTGGAAAGCCACTCCACAGAGTCACAGAACGCTTTGGTTTGAAAGGGATTGTAAAGGGCAGGAGCTTGCACCGAAGCTCTTTAGTCCATGTTAGCTAGTTCCTTTGCTCTTTTGGGGTCCTGGATGGAGAAGTGGCTCCCTTCTGGCACAGGTCAGGCTGCAGCTTTGTGCTGGGCTATAGAGCCCTTGGAGAAGGTGTTGTTGGCCAGGGGCTGTCTCTTGTCCCACCACTGTGCTGTGTCCTTGGCTTTCTCTGTTCTGGTGGAGTGGGCCATGAGTGTCCCAGCAGTGGTTGCTGAGTTCAGGTGGTGGCAGCAAACACGGGGAGACTTGGTCACCTTGGCAGGTTCAAAGGTGGCTTTGTCCTCCCATGCCAAAGGTGGAGGCAGCCCAGTCCTTGGGCTTGGCACACAGCCAGTAGGGCTGCCTAAAAATAATCAGGTCTGTGTAGGGGTGGGCAATTCTCTGTGCACCCCAAAGGCTGGAGGGAGATAACAGAGGGGGAGTCAGAAGGTGTCCTGGTGGGGAGGAGGGATGTGCTCGCTGGTGTGGGGTGGTGAGTGTTGGAAGGAGGTTTGGGTTTGTCCTCTGTCTGTATGTCTGCAGGCTCTTGGAGTGAATTCTGTGCCGCTTGCAGAGCTGATCGCAGAGCCCTGCGAGCTAAGTGAGCTCTATCAATCCCCGTTTGGATGGGTGTGGGCTGCACACCTACAGCACAGATGTCCCCTGCCAATGTGGCACCCGCCACCTCCAGGGATCTTTTGCCATGCAGGTCCTTGGGGCCACCCCTCCAAGGTGGAGAGAGAATGGCAGGATGGTTCATCGCAGCCAGGACAAGAAAGAGTGGAGACAATTTTGGATGGAAACACGGGGCTGAGTCTGAGCTTTAAAGGTGGCCTGGGTCTCTAGATAAACTGAGATAAATAGCAAAAAATATAATATAATGCAGATTTTCTGCTGTCAATGCTACTTCTCTAAACTCAGAATGCCCCCCCAGAAAAGCTATCGGAGATATTACCTCTTGCTGCTCTTTATAATGCCACAGATGAGGACCGGCTTAGTTCTGTACTTGACTTATTTTTTATATTAAGATTTAACATGGGATCTGCTTTTCTTAATCCAAACACTTAGGGTTTGAATGCAGAATTATATTTGAGATTTTTAAAGTACCTTTATTAAAACGTAAAACTAATTTTATGGTTCTGACAGGTCTTATTTAAATACCCAGTGCCAGATGCCTTTTGTCCCAAATGACTTCAGGAAAGAAAAAAAAAAGACTTTTAAAACTTCTCATGCAATTAAAATGCAGTAAAAGGGAAGTATATAGTCTTACATATGCTGAGGACTAGGGGTAACAGTTTAAGAGAAGTCCCGTGATAAATGTTTCCAAAAATAAATATGTGAAACCAAAGGTGTTAAAGGGAGAGTAAATGTGATACCTGATTTTTGGTGGTTGTTGCATTATTTCTGTTGCTCGTGCCCTGAGAACAGTTGTAAGAATTGTGCTGTGTCTGTAGGGAAAAACCTCTCCAAAGGGGGTGGTGCAGAGGACTTTTCTCCATGGTCCTTCCCATGAGGCACTCCTCAGGATGCAGCTGGTTCCAGGTGTCCCCAGGTGCTGTAAGATCAGTCCTTGCCCACATCTTTTAACCCTTACTCCAAAACACTCACACTCTCTTATATCCTCTGACCCAAGAGTGACAATTTTCTGTACTTTATTTAATAATAAGTTATCTTTTATCTGGCAAAAGGGAGCTTCAGCAGCACAAACATTAAGAAGTCGGGTATCTTTGAAACTGTGTTTGTGACCATGTCTAAGAGCAAATCCTGCTTAAAATCTTAAAATAGAGAGGAATTTTCCCCATGTGCTAGAACATTTTCTTCTGGTAGGTTATGTTGCTGCCTTTGCTCCTTTGGGTTTCAGAGCCGCAAGAATCCCACCAGAGCATCCTGCAAGTTTATTTTCAGCATATTTTTCACTTGCTGAAAGAAATGAATGTTACAATGAGTCCCTTTGAGAAAATGCACAGACACACTTATACTCTGATCCATAAAATTAATTATCTTAATTGTAGCTTTTACTGGTGCAGAATAAGAACCCTGCTTGGTAGAACTTAACGTCTTTGTGTACCGGGCACGTCTGATGATCTTAATTCAACCTATACTGCAGATGCTTTACACATTTGTCCCAATCAGCCCCGTTTTGGAGCACTCACAGACACAACAGTGGAGCCTGGACGGGCTGACTTCTGGAGTGTGTGAAACCATCCCGGTGTTGGGATGTGGGAGAGATTTATGTGTTTGGGACTCCTTGTAAAGAGGAGATGGTGGTGCTGACATCACTCCTACTTCATTCCTGGGGATGAGCAGCCTGCCAACAGTTGCCTGAGGGAGGTGGGCAGTGCTGCATGCTCTGTCCTGAGCTCCTGGGCACACACGGAGCAGCTCTGCAGAGACACGAGAGCACGTGGGCTCCCGGGCTGGTCATTCTCTCCTTATTGTTATTTTTGTGTACATCAGTGTTTTTATTGGGTCCAGCTGAGACTGAGAACAAGAGAGTCAAAATACCT